ACAGGAAGCAACAGTTAGAACTAGATATGGAACAACTGATTGGTTCAAAATCGGGAAAGGAGTACGACAAGGCTGTATATTGTCCCCCTGCTTATTTAACATATGCAGAATACATCATGCAAAAGGCTGGACTGGAAGAAACTGGAATTAAGATTGCCGGAAGAAATGTCAACAACCTCTGATATGCAGATGATACTACGCTGATGGCAGAAAAGTGAGGAGGAATTGAGGAACCTTATAATGAGGGTGAAAGTGGACAGTGCAAAAGACGGTCTGAAGCTCAACATCAAAAAAGTTAAGATCATGGCCAGTGGTCCCATTACCTCCTGGCAAATAGAAGGGGAAGATATGGAGGCAGTGACAGATTTTTACTTTCTTGGGCTCCCTAATCACTGCAGATGGAGACAGCAGCCCCGAAATTTAAAGACATCTCCTTTTTGGGAGGAAAGCAATGACAAACCTCGACAGCATCTTAAAAAGCAGAGACATCACCTTGCCAACAAAGTCCGAATAGTCAAAGCTATGGTTTTCCTGTAGTGATGTACGGAAGTGAGAGCTGGACCATAAAGAAAGCTGACCGCCGAAGAATTGATGTTTTTGAATTATGGTGCTGGAAGTGGCTCTTGAGAGTCCCCTGGACTGCAAGGAGAACAAACCTATCCATTCTGAAGGAAATCAACCCTGAGTGCTCACTGGAAGGACAGATCCTGAAGCTGAGGCTTCAGTACTTTGGCCATCTCATGAGAAAAGAAGACTCCTTGGAAAAGACCTTGATGTTGGGAAAGTGTGAGGGTAAGAGGAGAAGGGGACGACAGAGGATGAGATGGTTGGACAATGTCATCGAAGCAACCAACATGAATTTGACCCATCTCTGGGAGGCAGTGGAAGACAGGAGGGCCTGGCATGCTCTGGTCCATGGGGTCACGAAGGGTCGGACACGACTAAACGACTAAACAACAACAATATATGTTTGAATGAATGTCCCATAGGAAAGCTATGCTTGAAGGCAAAAGCTGGTTTGCATCTGAAATGTGCAACTGTGGTGTTCGTTCAGTCTTCCTTAGCTGCAACCTGAGGAATTTTGCAATTTTCAGTACCAAGCCAGTGCTTCAAATTTCAAGTCAACATAAAACGCCAAACAAAGATATCCAAATCTGTGAATAAATTCCTCCCTCCCCATGATGCAGCCTCTCAGAATTCCCCATTCTGAGATGCTCAAGGTACATAATGAATGTAATTCTTTAAACACTTGGTTCTCATTATTTTATATTCTTTCTCTTGCTCAGTCACAGGCCTCCCCAAGCTAATGACCATTGAAGGTGTTGAGATTCAGTTTCTGCGGTCACTAGCCTGTGTGGATAGTGGAGTCATGAGAGTAGTAGTTCAGCTTATCTGTTAAGACTCTAAGCCTCCCTGGGTGGTCACAGACATCTTTCTCCATCTCTGCTGGTCTTGCCCTCAGCTGCTCAGAGGCATTTCCCCTGCCATTAGAAAACCTGAAAACTTCCCTATGTGTCATCCAGTGGGAAAGTATATTCCCCTGCTAAAATAGTCCATTGATTCTGATATGTACTTAGCATAATGACATCCTGCTTCATATTCCATAGGAGGCAGCAATTAGTACTTGAATGCTGATTATATTGCATGTGGATTATTTGTCCTGATCAGAGATGACTATTTCCGTAGTCATCTATGAGAGCCATAACTCAGATTTTGCAGATTCTCCTTGGATATTGGTGTTCAGTAGTTCTACATGAAATACGTCTCCTATTTCCTAGCATTTATTTACATTTTGCTTTAAAACCTGTTTTACAACCCGTAGCCATCTGTCAGATCTGTTTTGATTTGGATTCCTGCATTGAGCAGGGGGTTGGACTCAGTGGCCTTGTTCAACTATCCTAAAACCACATGACTGTCAAAGCAATATAAAGGAAAATAATGAAAATGCAGTAACAGCCCACCAAAAGCCTGTTTTGTAGTTGTTTTGATTTTTGAGGCAGTTGGCTGTTGCTGTTCTGGTGCTCTAAGGTTGTTTAATACAGCTGTTTAGTATAAAAGACGAAAGCAGTGGAAGAAAGGAGAAGGAGAAACATCAGCCAAAGTCAGTAGACTCTCCCTCTCTCTCCTTGTTCCCCCTCCCCCCATACACACAAGCATGTGTGTGTTAGAAGACAGCAAAACAATATTGGACTGGACACCTGGAGATAGGGATCAGAGAAGACTGCTAAAAGAGATCTCAATACTCTAGTTGAGAAGGCTCTGTTCCATTATTTCGACAAACACAATTCCGATGATAGTAGGATGCAGAACAGAGCATTCCAGAAGACTTCCAGAAGCATTTTCCATTATTCAGTTGTTCCACCAGCAGCTCCTGGTCCATGAGCAACAACATTTCATGATACTTCGAGATAAGAATTTGGCAATTCCATCACAGAATGCGTGGTCCATGGAGGGCCTCTTTCTTTGAGGAAATATTGAATAGGTATCTGCCAGTAAGATCTTGGTGTAAGGGGTAATGCTGGGAGGATTCAGAATATGTCTGAATCCGCAAACGTTCTCCTCGCAAGGGACCACCATGTGCTCCCCTCGTCTTCCTGTAAATTTTCTAATCAGATTGGCTACAGTTGAAACCCATTTGCTGGACAACGTGGGGGAACTGGTCTGATCCAACAAGGTGACTAAATGGGAAAGAGCCACTATAGTTAACAAGGATTTATAGCTATTTCTGCTTTCTATTTGGACTACCAATAAAACCCAAGTCTCTTCCCATTTCTCCATTGCTGTGCCCCACTATTACATATTTATCGTAAATTGACCCCGCTAATTATGAGGATTTTGAAACATTCCAGCAAATGCAACTTTCTGAATGCCAGTACTACTGCTTATTAGGATTTCCCTTTTGATAGGATGGTTTTATCACAGTCTCATTTGGGTGTGCAATTTTGACTGTTGTTTTATTTCAGAGTTTATTGCTCATCAGAAACACATCAAATACATTTGGGCTGAGATCCTTAACTTACAAGTTGTCTCTGTCATTTGGACGTTTGGTTTTAGCTCTACGTGGTGTTCTGGATCACAGAAAAGACATCCTAGGACTGCCATGAACTGTCATCAAGTTCTTGTCTGTAATTAAAAAAATCTGTGTTTTATATTTGACAAAATCCGATTTTAGTAAGTGAAATATCTACTCTTTCTCTCCCCCCCCTTTTTTTTTAACAGTGTCATCAGCAAGGTGGTGTCAACACCAGAGGCTAAACCATGTGCTCTCCTAGCTCGGCCCAAAACACCACCCCCTCCGCCAGCTCCAGCACCAGCTCCAGTCCATGTAACCCCTCCTCCTCCTCCTCCAGTGCTTCCTCCTTTGCCTGTAATCACGGTTTCTCCGCCACCGTCTCCTGCGATATCAGCTCTGGGAGGCTCCAAAGCTCCAGTCCGAAGTGTGGTAACTGAGACTGTCAGCAATTATGTGGTACGTAGATTACCTTGTTTGGATGGGAATGTGTGTTGCTCCTCATTACTGAGCAGCTCCTCTTCAATATTTTGATAAAGCCATAGGGCTGTCCATTTCCGCCTACCAAATCCAGTAACTGATCTACCTTATATAAATATGTGGTCAAACTCATGCTCTAGGAGACATTTATTGTGACACTAACATATCTGCCACAACCCTGTTGCATTTGTGTAATGCAAGTGGACAGTCCTGCAAGGAATTCTGCCACCATGTTCCCCCAAATCCTTTGGTCAAGAAAACTACTGCACAGAGAGCTTTGCAATGGGTAGAAGAGGAGCAAACTGCATGTGCTATTGCCGTTAACATACACACACATTTCTTCAATAGGATTTGGGCTATTTTATTTATTTATTTATTTATTTATTATTTATTATTTCAGTTTGTATACCATCCCTTAGTGCACACTGGACTGGGGGAGGGGTTATAACATATTAAAAACACATACAAGTACAAGAAATATTTATTTATTTATACCCCGCCCATCTGGTCTAAAAGATATTTAACTCCAACTATGCTCAGCTTCAAGGGACGTGGTGGCGCTGCAGGCTAAACCACAGAAGCTTGTGCTGCAGGGTCAGAAGACCAGCAGTCATAAGATCGGTTCATTTACACTGACCGATGTATGAGACTTCCCAGTTTGGAAACCTGCTGTGAAGCATTTCTGTGCTATCTTCATTGGCTTCAGATGCAAAGTTTGCACTTTCAACAGAAATCATTTTAAGTACAGCAAATTGAGCAGATTTATCTTGACCAGTCCCATCATCTTAGTGTGAATCGCCAATCAAGGCGATATACAAATTTATTATTTACGTACTTATGTTTATATGCTCCCTCAGGGCACTTTTAAAAAACAGTTCTAAAACAGTAAGTACGAATGATTTAAAAGATACACAGATAAAAATCTAAACTGCTTGGGAGAAATTTCCGGGGGCAGGGGAGATAGCTACAAAGTCTGCTTTGGAAAGGCATTTCTTAAGCTCTGTCCTTCCATCTAACTTCTTTTGGCAGAGGTACATCTACGAATGGCCAGAGTATCTTAATTGTTTTATCCTTGCAGAAGGCATGTTCTAACATATTTGTTGTTAATCGCAGTAGATGTGGAAACATCATTCAATGCATTGTTCATATATTGAAGGTCTTAGAGCCGTGATTCCCAACCTGGGTTCCACAGATTTTCTTGGACTAAAACTAGCTTTGTTGGCCAAGATTTCTGGGAGTCATAGTCCAAGAACATTTGAGGACCCAAGGTTGGGAGTCAGTATCTTAGAGACACAATTTGAAACGCTCTGCAGAAGCAGACTAAGGAGAAACTTCACTTGAAATCCTACGAAGTAGCTGCAGGAGATAGAAAGTGCTAGATGCACCACTGACCTGATTCAGTATGAGGCAGCACTTGTTCACATTATACATGTGGACATCACCTTGCTTCTTGGCTTGCCTACAAGTGTTCATCAGTTTCATTAAGGAAGCAGTAGGGAGCGGTGGTTAGAATATTGGGCTGTGACTTCTGAGATCCAAGTTTCCACTGAATCATGAAATTCTCTGGGTATCTTTGAGGCCTGTCCCTCTCAGCCTTACCTACCTGGCAGGGTTGTTGAAGCTTGTTGGAGAAAAGGCAATATATAAATGTAATAATGTATCTCATACATACATCACGAGAAAATCCAATTGTCTTCAAAAGAAGTTCAAGCAAAGGGGACTTTTGTTCCTTGCCCTTCCGGTGTTCACCCGAACAACAGTCCCTGTACTTTCCTGGCTGTCTTACTTGCATAAGCATTTGCTGTTTCCTAAGTGATAAAATAAGGCAGCGGAAGATGAGGTCAGCTGTGTAGTGAAAGACAGGAGGAAAATGAAAATGTGTGAGTATATTTAATCATGTGAACCTTTCGATCTAGAGTTAACTTTTTTGCCTGGGTTGTAAAATCAGCTAAAAATATATGAGTTTATATGGCTTGCCTTAGATTCGGTATGTTAATATTTCCATGATAAATTATTCTGCAAATCTATCCTAAGAATGTGTTGTTTAATGTAATTTTTCAAATTCACTCACGCCTGCAAGAATAATTGGTGGAGAGAGAGAAAGAGAGAGTGAGTTTATATCCTTTTAAAATATGAATGATGTGTACCAGTTTGTGCACTTATATGTGCTTTAGAAATAATTAAGTTTGACTTGTTAACCTCCGGCATGCAACAGATCAGAAATACTATTATAATTAACAGTATTATTTACTGTCTCTGGAATCATGGTAAACACAAGAGTGGACGAGGTAAATGCTACCTACCAGTCTGTTGCTGAAAAACCTTCTTTCCCTTTTTTCCATTTACCCTTCAGTATCGATGTGGTTGAGGCATAAATGTCAAATGAATGGAAAGTTACTCAGTAACAGTTTTTTATACCCTTGATCTTATCAGTTAGTTGAGTTGGAAGAGTTTGGCTAATAAGTAATAACGCCACTATGCACGGCACCCCGTGCTATATATATTAAACGCACGTCATTCAAGATTGTCTTTGTTCGGGGAAGGGAGGACCAGTATTTGGGGGGGGGGGGAATAAACCTAGCATCTTAGTCCCCTCACCAGCCTCAGTCTCAAATGTGCACAAGTACATGATAGCTGAAGTAAATGAATGAACTTATTTTTTTCCCCCGTGAGCTAATTTGAATATAGAGATAAAGAGAAGGTGGTCTGGAATGAGTTATGTTGTTTCATTTTGATTTTAGGGCTGTTTTCTCTTTTCCCCCAAAAAAGTGCAATTCTCTGACTTTTTCCTCAAGATCAGGGCTATCGATCGTCAGTCCCAAACGTCCGCTTTCTGGGTTATGTGATTGTTCCTCAACCATGTTGGGATGTGGTCTAATCCTTGAATCTTTCTTCTCTAATGCAGGATATTCAGCTTTTCAAGGATTAGGAATGTCTATTTATTATATGCTTCTCTGTGATTTCAGCTTCCTCAGTCAGAAACAAGTACATATTAAATTTTCCTTAGAAACAATTTCTTGGGAAAGAAAGTTATGCCAGTGGGGTTATGCCCCCGTATTATGTCCATGCAGATAGCGTACGGCAGTGATGGTGAACCTTTTTGAGCCCGATCTAGCTTTGGGGGATAATCAGGAGTTAATCAGCTGCATTAGGTAATATTTCAGACCACGAAAGTAATCAGATTCTCTCTGCTTCTTTGCTCCAGATCCGAGACGAATGGGGGAACAAAATCTGGATTTGCCCCGGCTGTGAGAAACCAGATGACGGCAGTCCCATGATTGGTTGTGATGATTGTGATGATTGGTATCACTGGTAAGTGCTTCAAGGTGTCCCTCTTGTCACTTCAGTTCAGTTTTGGGAGAACTGCAGTTTTCCATAGTCACCATATGCAGAAATGTTCTCTTTTTAACATTTTTTCATCTTTACTGTCCTTCTGCAAGCCTGCAAAGACCTTTATTTTGTTTTCAGTTAGGTTTTCTTTTAAATGACAGGTTGACTAAGGTGATTTTTTTTAAGGGATTGATGCGTTTCCTTTGTTTTTAATACTGTTTTTACTTAAAAGTTGTTAATATATTTCATGAATTCTTTTAAAATATTGTAATAACGTATTACCATTGTTGTTGTTTCTAGTAATGTATGCCTTCTTGGATTCTTTAAGACAGTGGTTCCCAACCTTGGTTCAAGAACCCCAGATGTTCTTGAACTAAAACTCACAGAAGCTTCAGTCGCTAGCCTTACTGGCCAGGATTTCTGAGAGTTATAGTCCAAGAGCCTCTGGAGACCCAAGACTGGGGACCACCGGTTTAGGAGAAAATTGGCAAAGAAATAAATAAAATACATCACCCGTGTAAGTGGACAGTTCTTTAAATTTTAGTGTCTCAGTGAAGCTTAAGAATTCAGCCGTTTCTGAAACAATGAAGGCTGATAACATGGTTCCAGCCAATGAGCTTGATTGAGCTTGATGAGCATGGTTTTAAACATGGTTGTGATGTGTCAAAGGAATATAGCTTTCTGGACTTCAACATGGTTTTAAACAGACACATCAAAGGTTGTGATATGTCAAAGGAATATAGCTTTCTGGACTTCATGTTTCATTGCCTAACAAATCCCAAGGATGTCTTGGAACCACAAAATGGGCTCGTTCCACAAGCCTGTGACTTCCTCCACTAACTGATACGCTTTGTAGTTACTGTCCTACAAATTTTAACATGCAGTTAACCAAGAGAGTATTTTGAAAAGCATTTAAGGAAGCCATTGTCTATATTCTTCTACAGCAATAGGATCAAATACTCTGTGGTGTCGATGGCTGGATGTTTTCAAAGGATTTCTCTGAAAAGGGTAGCTTAGATCCCATTTAAAATGAGGAATGATGCAACAGTATAGATGCCAGGATTTGGAGGTCTAAATGCCAAGAATAAAAGAGGCAGAATTCAAAAGGTGCTCAAGGAAAGTATATTTTTATACATGTTTAGAGATACTCCAATCTCTTGTTATGCCTGACATGTTTTGAGTATAGTATACTTTTTGTGAGGAGCAGCTAAAAATAAATTACAAAGTATAATTCAGACAAGATGTCACAAAAATGTAACACACTAAGGTTATATGACAGAACATAATATTTGAAAACATATCTGAGAATGCCTTTGGGAACCTCAGAGTACTATCCACTGTACAAAAATTCCCAGTGTAAAATGTAGTACCTTATTTTATTGATGCCCTTCAGTTGTGAAATGAGAAAACACAACACATTGGTAAAGATATCAAGAGGGCTATAAGACCCTAGAGAAACTGAGACTGGGGGTCATCGTGGAACCTAGATTATAATCTCTGTAGTTATAGCTTTCACTATCATTAGTTTAACATAATGCCTATTTTCGTCCTGTTATTGTTAATATAAGTGGAATATTTGAGAAACTAAGTTCATTCTTACTTTCTTTTTTAAAGCCCACAATCTAATTGGAATCTGTTTGACTTCTGTTGCTTAATTCTGTTTGTTTGTATCATATCAGTAGAATTTTTTTCTCCATCAAGCCCTTAAGGGCTAAATCTGTGTGGATGGCTTTGCTCAATTTTTCCCACAGAGTGAAGATTACAAGGTCTAGACGGTGTTTCACTGGTTGAGAATCCTTACCCATTTTCTGTTGTTTGTGTGTTGTCAAACATGTAGGCCTTGTGTCGGGATTAAGGCTGCTCCCCCAGAAGAAACGCAGTGGTTCTGCTCCAGGTGTGCCAACAAAAAGAAAGACAAAAAACACAAGAAGTGGAAACACAAAGCACACTGAAGTCCTTCTGTGGTGGTGTTGGTGGGGGATGCGGAGAACTGTCGCTTCAGCCCTCCTGCCTGCAGACTTTTTCATGGAGGGGGTTCAGGCAGGCTTCTGCTGCCTCCTCCACGGCCATCAGGTTTCAAAGTTTGACTCTTGGGAGAATCAGGAACATGTGAGTCCGCTCTGGGCTGGCCCATCAGACAGGTGTGGGCCTCCATCAACAATATCCTGCAACAAGCTCTCCGGCTGCAAAGCAGTGTAAAACCACAAAATTCTGTATCTAAAGGAGGTGGCTGCTGCCTCCTTCAGAAGCACCAGTGACACTTGTAAATATTCCTGCCTTTTGCCCTGGCTGTTTTCTCCCTTTTGCTCTGAGAAATGGGAGAGACTACTCGAGGGATTTCCACAGCTTTCAGACTCTTCCCTTGCATAGCCAGATAATCATAAGGACACCGGGTGGGGCGAAGAACTGGTAATATTTTTTTTTGTTTAATGCGAGGATATTGAAACATTTCTTCATGCACTCTTTTTCCCCTTGATTTTGAAGGCCTAACGTAAATAAACACACTTTAGTTTTTTTGTGAAATAACTTCTATTTCTTTTTAAAAAACACAAGAAAAGTTTCTGTTGTGGCCATTTTTCTTCCTTTGTACGTTGTTGTTCTTTGGCTCCTTCAGCCAGTTATAAATGAGACAAACTCATCTTCCTTCCACCGCATTTAAATTTAATCTGTAGTCTTCTTTCTTTGTAGCTTGTATAAATTCACTTGGGTATCCCAGCCCTTCACATAAATAGCTTAAAAAAAAACAAACACCTCAAGCTGATATCTTACAAGGTAGTTGGCTTATTTTCAAAGTTTGGGTCAGGTTGACTTCTTAATGTACAGCCTGACTTACTAGAATTAATTTGGTTTATTTGGGTCAGGGGACAGGTAGGGGCTTACATTTACCAGTTTTGTCTCCAGTGCTGCTTCTCTCAAATTATGTTTTAAATATGTGGGTTGATTCTGTCACATTATACCTGCAGACGTAACGATACTTGCAGATGTAACTATGACATTAAGGACTGATTTCCCACCATTCCATTTTCAATTTGGGTACAAAATGTACCTGAGTTAAAAGAGCAGAAAGCATGTACAGTAGTGAATGGTGCATGTATACATTTCAGAGACACCATTTCCTCTCAGTGTCTACAGAGGAAACTTAAGAAAGAATCGGTATCTCTTGTGAAGAAACGGAGGACATTTCGAATGACCCTGCTCCATTTACAGTAAAAAGTATTATACCTGAGTTTTGCCAAAAAAACAAAACAAAACCTAAATACAGTGGGGTCTCGACTTACGAACTTAATCCGTATTGGAAGGCGGTTCGCAGGTCGAAAAGTTCGTAGGTCGAATCTGCATTTCCCATAGGAATGCATTGAAAACCATTTAATCTATCTTACAAGGTAGTTGGCTTATTTTCAAAGTTTGGGTCAGGTTGACTTCTTAATGTACAGCCTGACTTACTAGAATTAATTTGGTTTATTTGGGTCAGGGGACAGGTAGGGGCTTACATTTACCAGTTTTGTCTCCAGTGCTGCTTCTCTCAAATTATGTTTTAAATATGTGGGTTGATTCTGTCACATTATACCTGCAGACGTAACGATACTTGCAGATGTAACTATGACATTAAGGACTGATTTCCCACCATTCCATTTTCAATTTGGGTACAAAATGTACCTGAGTTAAAAGAGCAGAAAGCATGTACAGTAGTGAATGGTGCATGTATACATTTCAGAGACACCATTTCCTCTCAGTGTCTACAGAGGAAACTTAAGAAAGAATCAGTATCTCTTGTGAAGATACAAAGGACATTTCGAATGACCCTGCTCCGTTTACAGTAAAAAGTATTATACCCGAGTTTTGCCAAACAAACAAACAAACAAAACAAAACCTAAAAGCATGTACAGTAGTGAATGGTGCATGTATACATTTCAGAGACACCATTTCCTCTCAGTGTCTACAGAGGAAACTTAAGAAAGAATCAGTATCTCTTGTGAAGATACAAAGGACATTTCGAATGACCCTGCTCCGTTTACAGTAAAAAGTATTATACCCGAGTTTTGCCAAACAAACAAACAAACAAAACAAAACCTAAATAGTACATTGAGAACAGAACGCTTATAGTACATTGAGAACGCTGTTCAGAATGAGAAAGAAGCTGATATAACATGGAAACTGGGCTGCGCTTCTTTTCCTTTCCTGGGTCATAGGAAAGCCACTATCTGACAAGCTGGTACTCAGTTCTCAGTAATACAGGATTGATCAGGAGTGACCTGTCCTTTGTAGGCATTCCCTTCACTGTCTCTCCGGGAACCAGCCAGAGTTTCCTTGTGACTTTATTGAACCTCTTTGCTGTCTATCTGTGCCAGTCTTGAAGTGACCTGTGGAGTTGCGGAGGTTGAAGCCAGAAGTGTGTGGCTACTCCCAGCTATGTGCTTGCACATCCCTACCAGGCTAGGAGATGGCCCAAGCATCTTTCTCGCTTTCTCTCCAACCTTGAAATGGTATGTTGCAAGGTCTGCATGATCCACCTGAGAAGAAAGGGAGAGCTTTAACCAGGCAAGTGCCAAGTGTCCCCCAGGGTTCACATTGCATCCCCTCTCACCCACCCCACACCATTGTTTCACAACATTTTGTTGGCCTGACTGGCTTAGGACACCCTCTGGGGGTATTAATTGGTCTTTACAGACTCTTTAACCTTAGAACGGCGGAGCTGGAAGGACCCTATGGATCACTGAATCCAGCCCTCTCAAGGAGGCCCAGTGGGGGAATCGAACTCCCAACCTCTGGCTCTGCAGCCGGGTGCCTAAACCACTAAGCTCTCCAGCAGTTCCTATTTGCTCACACTCAATGGGAACTTTCTGCCCAAAACTGGAAGTGACAACCAGGGACTTGGTAGGTATGGACGTCAATCAGGTAGACATGGAACAGTGGCCCCAAAGTGTTGAGCATTTCAGAATATAATGTATGAGGTATCTTGCCCACTTTTAAAAAAAAAATGGTAAGAGTTTGGAAAGTGAGTTTCCAAGAGATAGATGAGTTTTCCTGACCTCTGGAAACACAAGAGTACAGTACCTCTGTGTCTTTATATTTTAAAGGGAATGGGGTCTTCTCAGACTTTTTTCCAGAGTAGGATGCAGATACCATTGGTGAGGGAAATCTAATCTAGCAGTGGGAGATTCTCCTAAATTGACCCATGCCATTTCCAGTAACAATGACCAGTACTGTGCACATAAAACTCGGATGCCAGCATTATGGAATAATAGAAAAGCATAGATTTTCACCAAATTTGATGGCATGGGAAAAACTTTAAGCTGAATCACCTTTCAGTTTGCTGTAGGTCCATTGGTCAGTACACTCGTGCTTGTTTTAGTCAGCACAGGAAAAGTCCTGATTTCGAACTGTAACCATTTAGTGAAATCCTCTACATAAATAATGTTATTTTTCAAAACAAATCCAGTATGTTCATGAAATACATGTTAGCCATGCCCGTGTCAGAGAACAACAGTAACTTGGGTTATCAAAGAAAGTACTGGAAATTTTACTGCGTTTGCCGAAGGGTAAATAAACTGTTGCTTAAATGTGAATCCTCTATCCTGAGTTGCAAATAAGGAAGCTCAAAATAGCATCTTAAATTTACTGCTCTGATATTCTTCAAGAAACACGAAGTTCTAAGAGGAAAGGAATCTGGGTACATTCAATTCCAGTTGCCTTTAATATTTCTGCAAATATCACTGTCATCGAAAGAATTAAATTTCCATTTATCTGGAATACTGCATCTCAGCTTCCCTTGTCACACACGGATACTGATGCAGTCATGGCTTGCGTAGCAGCATTAGGAAATGGGCAAACGTTTTCATCTACTGGAAGAAAAGCTTATTGGGATGTAATCCAAAGAGAAATTTCAGCAAACCCAGGCATAGAAGACCTGAGCCCTCCAGATATTAGATTACAAGCAGCTATCAAGTTTCTTATTTGTGCTTTCTAGTACTCCACAAATACTGACGAACCCTTAAAATTAGTTTTTTAAAAAAAGCAGAAGCAAGACAACAGAGAATCAATCTATTTTAAAAGCATGCAACAATATCTAAGAAAAATAATTGGATCTTTGCAGGCATTAGTTTATATTATCACATGTATTATCCTAATCTGGCAACGTATGAGAAAGAAATCAGGCGGTTCAGGCACTAGTTTATATATACAAATTTAACAGAATAAACACTTTTGACATCATAAATATACAGTAAATTAACCAAATAACAACATTAATCGTTCAAACAGGAAAAGCACCCCTATAAATATACAACACAAAGAGAGAGGAAAATCGAAAAATAAAATATGTACACAGCCCCCTCTCCCCAAAACCAAGGAAAGCAAGTAAGTAAAAGCAAAAAATGTAGTCAAAACACCCTCCAAAAATCAGAATTACTAGAACAGAAGGAGACTTGTCTCTTCCTTCCACTTGATGCCTGTTCTTTAATCGAGAAGGAAAAAAGAAGCAGGAAAGAATCTTAAGATGGACACGCAGGCAGGCAGTACTCAAAGATGGAGGGCAGTAATCCATCAAAACTTATGAAAGCAAAGAACACCGCTCTCTGGTTTCCAGGGCATTTGACGTACAGAGAAAGGTAGCAGCTAACTGTCAAAGACTCAAAACATCTGCATCAAATGCAAATCCACTTTTCAACTACTATCCTACCCTTCCCCAGATTAAAATCAAGGGGGAGGGAGGCATTCAGAAATTAAAATATATATAAAAATTTGTGTGAAACTCAACAGAGAATGCAAAGACTAGAATGAAGTACTGTATACACCTCTTAAAATGGATTGAATTCCACGAAACTCCAGCTGTTGGATACATGGAGACCTGGGTTTCTTGGAAGTTACTTCATAGGCTATGGAGTAGAATTGAGAGAAATGGGAATTTTGCACTGACAATCCTTTGTGATGGTGGAGGAGAAGAGGCAACTTCACACCTATATCCATGTTCTCTGTGCCCCTCCATGTGTACTATCGAAGAGTTGGTGTTACTTGCCCAAAGTGCCTTTGATATTGCCTGCCGTTTGGTGAAGATAGTTCGATACACTTCTTAATTGTACAGTGATCTGGAAAAATTGCTCAGCCAGTAGTCTTGGTTCATAAAAGACACCTTCATGCTACACAGTGAATGTGTATGTGAACACCCCTTCCATCTTCTCTGAGTTAATCCCAACTTCTTCAACCGTTTTTAGATCTCAAGTGTAAAAGGAGGGGATCATGTGAAGGCACTATGAATAACAAATAGAGAAAACCTGTATTGGGTAAAGAACAACACTCTCAAAAGATGCAGAGGGGTTTGAAGAGCTGAGTGCAATGCCTTGAACTGTCACGTGTGATGCTGCCATTCCCCTGCAAAGGTAATGTGCTTGGAACAGTATGTAGAGTTCAGAATATACGTTCTGCAGGTGAAACGGTGTTCCTTCTCTCCTTCCACCCCCACCCGCAGAAGGTGTCTGCTTCTAAGTACAGTGGGGGTCTTTATCCACCTTCATCTGATTTGTGAT